TTGAAAACCGCCGATAATGATTCGGAAAAACCGAAAGAGGCGTTGGCCACCGCCGATTCAGAGTGTCAGGTGACTCGATTGTAAAGATTTAAAGATTGGCTTTGAGAAATAAAAAATGTTGGACATCAAAATCGAGCGCACATGTTTCTCTCTTTCACATTCTCGCTCACAGCATGAAAGACTTTCACTCTGTTTACCGAGCAACTTGCAGCGTGCAGACTGAGCCGTGCGGCTGCGGCACGTGACTCGCTGAACGTTTGTTTTCCATTTTTTTCTCTTGTCAACATTTCCAAATTCGGATTCTGCTTCTTGGGTTGGCCTTCTTACTTCCAGACTGACACTCTAATCTCACCGGGAAGCAGTCATGGCACCGGTCAGCACCACCACCACCACCACCAAGGAGCCGGTGATCGTGGACGCCTCTTCAACTTCAGCTGAGTCGACGGTGATGCTGGACGAGGACGTGCTGAAGCTGCGTCCGCTGGGCGCCGGCCAGGAGGTGGGCCGCAGCTGCATCTACATGGAGTTCAAGGGGAAGAAGATCCTGATGGACATGGGCATCCACCCCGGCCTGAACGGCATGGAGTCGCTGCCCTTCGTCGACCTGATCGACCCCGAGGAGATCGACCTGCTGCTCATCTCGCACTTTCACCTCGACCACTGCGGCGCCCTGCCCTGGTTCCTCACAAAGACCAACTTCAGGGGGCGGTGCTTTATGACGCACGCCACCAAGGCGATCTACCGGTGGCTCCTGGCTGATTGCATCAAGGCAAGTAATCTTTCTTTTTCTAAAATATACTGACTCAAACTCCATCTCACTCCAGGTCTCAAACATCTCCACGGAAATGATGCTCTACACCGAGGCCGACCTGGAGCGGTCGATGGAGAAGATCGAGGTGATCAACTTCCACGAGGAGAAGGAGGTGGCGGGCGTCCGCTTCTGGTGCTACAACGCCGGCCACGTCCTCGGCGCGGCCATGTTCATGCTGGAGATTGCCGGCGTGAAGATCCTCTACACGGGCGACTTCTCGCGCCAGGAGGATCGCCACCTGATGAGCGCCGAGATTCCCGCCATCCTCCCCGATGTGCTCATCATCGAGAGCACCTACGGGACGCACATTCACGAGCCACGGGAGGACAGAGAGGCGAGGTTTACCGGTAAGTGGAAAGCGGTGTTTGCACTTCGATTTCGATTTCTAATTTCTAATTTCCACTCTTTCCCTTCTCTTCAGGCATCGTCTACGACACCGTCACCCGCGGCGGCCGCTGTCTGATCCCCGTCTTCGCCCTCGGCCGCGCCCAGGAGCTGCTGCTCATCCTCGACGAGTACTGGTCGCAGCACCCGGAGCTGCACGACATTCCCATCTACTACGCCAGCTCGCTGGCGAAGAAGTGCATGTCCGTCTACCAGACGTACATCAGCGCCATGAACAGCCGCATCAAGCGGCAGATCGCCATCAACAATCCCTTCGTCTTCAAGCACATCAGCAACCTGAAGAGCATCGACCACTTCGAGGACGTGGGCCCCTGTGTGGTGATGGCCACGCCCGGCATGATGCAGTCGGGGCTCAGCCGGGAGCTCTTCGAGGCGTGGTGCGGCCACCGCGCGAACTGCTGCATCATCGCCGGCTACTGCGTCGAGGGGACGCTGGCGAAGCAGATCCTCAGCGAGCCGGAGGAGATTGTGGCGCAGTCGGGGCAGAAGCTGCCCCGTCGCTGTCAGATCGAGTACATCAGCTTCAGCGCCCACACCGACTACCGCCAGACGAGCGAGTTTGTGCGGGCGCTTCGCCCGCCCCATATAGTGATGGTCCACGGCGAGGCGAATGAGATGGGCCGCCTGAAGTCGGCGCTGATGCGCGAGTACGAGGACACCGAGGCGCCGCCCGCCTTCCACAACCCCAAGAACACGGTGGCCGTGGAGCTGCACTTTCGCGGCGAGAAGATCGCCAAGGTGATGGGCTGCCTGGCGATGCGTGGCCCCAGCGAGGGCCTCCGCCTGTCGGGCGTCCTGGTGAAGCGGAACTTCGCCTACCACCTGCTGGCGCCCGCCGACCTGCACAAGTACACCGACATGGTGGTCAGCACGGTGGACCAGCGGCTGACGGTGCCCCTGGGGGCGGGAACCGCCGTCGGCGAGAGCTTTGAGGCGCTGGTCGCCGCGCTGGACGGCCTGGCGGTGGCCGTCCTCGAGGAGGGCCTGTCGCTGGTGGTCATGGGCATGATCAAGGTAAGCTGTGGGAAGGGAAAGGCTTCGATTGGTTTTTGATAACTCTTTTTTGACATTTTCCAGGTGAGCTACAATCCAAAGCCCAAGGCTTCCCTTCCGGCGCTGCCTGCACCTCCTCCTACCTCTTCTTCCACTACCACCACCACTACCTCCACCTCATCACCCCCTTCCTCTTCTTCTTCTTCTCCGGTGGCCGTGCTGGAGTGGACGAGCAGCCCCGCCGCCGACCTGGTGGCCGACAGCATCGTCGCCCTGCTGATGAAGGGCACCCTCAGCGAGAAGGAGGTGGCCGCGCTGACCACTGCTCCTAATCAGGCAGCCGCCTCTAAGGACAGCACAGACCAGCTGGCCATGCCACCGCTGACCAAACCGAAGGCAAAGAGTGGCAAGGCGGTTTCTGCCGCCGAACGGGAGCTCCTCTTCACCAACTTCCTCATCGACAGCCTCCGCGAGATGTTCAACCTCGAGGAGGAGGACTTTAGCGTCGGTACGCGAGAGGTGGAGGTGATGGTCACCGAGGAGGTGCCCGAAGAGGAGGAAGGAGCGGCTGACGGCGCTGAAGAAGGTGGTGGCAAGAACAAGAACAAGGAGGACACTACTGCAGAGATGCCGCCCAAGATGAAGGAGGAGCCGATGGACGAGGACGTCGAGACGGAGATGGAAATGGATGAGGCGGTGGCAGGGATGTCACAGCAGGCGAAGCGGGCAAAGAAGACGCGAGAGACTCTGCGCCGAGAGACGCACAAGATTCTTGCCTTCAAGGTGGTCATGGATGGTGGGGGCGAGCAGAAGGAGAAGCAAACTCCGTCTTTATCTTCGACCACCTCGGTGGAGGTGGACATTACCTCGAAGCAGCTGCTGCAGTGCGACCTGGAGACGGTCCGCTCGATGGTCAGCCGGCTGCTGACCGCCAGTGCCGAGATTAAACTTTGAATGTATTCGATTTTTATTTGCAGTTCTTAAACGTGAATAAATTGTTTGTGCATGTATTTGTCCTACAGTTTGAAGCTCAGCTTTTGAATTCAGTATGATCTTCAGGGTAGATTTGTCAGTATGGAGGAGTCTAGGAATGGCAAGTGGGAATAACAGGTATAGTGAGATGAATTGGTAAATGGCGATAAAATAGCCTGGCAGGTTGTCATTTGGTATGAAGTCCTCATTGTTCTCCTTCTCATCTTCTCATCCTACTCAAAGGCGTGGTCATAGTCATCATCATCGTAGCTGAAGATGCGGTCCCTCTTGGGCGGCACAAAGACGGTGAAATCAAAGTCCTGGAGGTAGCGAAAGTACTTGCTGGGAGTGGACTGCGCCACCGCTTCGCCGTCCTCCTGGTGAATCACCACCAGCTGCAGTCGCTCCACATTGGGAAAGAGTCGGGCCAGGGTGCGACAGAAGGCGACGCCGTCAAAGGCGACGGCGGTGTGAAAGCGAGTCAGCGTCAGATCGGAGACGGTCTCCAGCGGCAGCAGATTGGCCCCGTCCAGTTTGGCAAGGTCCAGCTGAAAGGCGATCAGCTCCAGGTAGTAGAGGTGGTGGAGGCGGGCCATGGAGGACAGAGTGAGAGGATCGAGGGTGGCGTACATCTGAAGTTGGAGAAATAGAAATAGAAACGGAGTCAACAAAACAACAAAAGACTTACGTAAGAACCGGCCACTCCGCCCAACGCCGAGCTCTCAAACTGAAGGCGCAGGTCATTGACGTTGATGAAGGCGCTGACGTTGACGTAGGCTCGGGTGCTCTCCGCCATGTCGGTGATGTCGCCCAGGTGGAGCTGCTCCAGAGCGACGACAAAGTTCGGGTTGATGTTCGCCCAGCTCTCCACACACTGCGGACTGAGGCCGCCGCAGCGCGTCCACAGGCTGTAGGTGCTGGGGGTGAGGTGGCGAACCACCTCCTCGACGTTCTCCGCCTCCATGCTCTCGTAGGCGAAGTGTTCAAGGTTGCGAAAGTTGAGGTAGCGCCACCAGTTGCGGCCCAGGTCGGTGACGCCCAGTCGGCGCAGCCAGTGACAGCGGTTGATGGCATTGCGGAGGGCCACTTTGCGCGTCTCGGG